ACTTTTTTTTTTTTTTTCCGGGGGGGGGGGGGGGAAAGGTTTTGGACCCCCCCCCAAAAATGGGCCCCGGGAAAGGGGGGGGGGGGGGGGGGGGTCATGTGTTGCGTTGTGCTTGTGTGTTGTGTGGGGTTTTTTCGTGAGTTCTGTGTGATTTTCGTCGTGCATTTCATTCTCGGTTGTTGACGTAGAACAACAAACAAATAAAACAGGTCCTTTTTCTTTTGTTTTTGTGGTTATCGAACAAAGGAGAGACTTACTTTGGTGCTTTGGCTATGCAAACTGGGATGTGTCGTCGGGTGGTGGTCTCGACTCGATGCAGCCAGTGCGCGCGGGGGGGGGGGAAAGCGAGGAGAGGTCTGCGCTCTGCTGTTTTTCTTCCGTTTCTTCCCCGTCCTCGTGGTATGTTCGTGCCGCCTACGGCATATGCCACGCGCGCCGGTTGCTGCGTGCCAATGGTGTTGGGCACGAAGGGGAACACGCGGTTTTGTGTTGTTTTTTCATGTCTTTCGTGTTTTTCTTTTGTTTTTTTTTGTGTCTCAGGAACGTCTTTGGCTTGGACGGCTCGTTACGAACGGCCTGCCTGCTACTGAGGCAGGCTTTTGTCTATATGTACGCATACACCATTATTAGAAGACACGAAGAGCACCGACCACGTTTCGGTGCACCTGCTGCTGTGACGAACAATCTAATCTCCACGGGACTCGTGCTCAACAAGGTGTTTCGTGTCATGTGTTTGGAAATTTGGCGGAAAGGCTTAGTTGCGCTGGGGGAGGGGGGCTCTACCCGAAGCGCTTTTTGAGGCAGGAAGGGAATGTAGGCGTGCTTCACGCAAGCGGTTACTTGCACATGAGCAACCGAAACCGCTCTCTCTCTTGTCTATGTGATACTACTGCTGTGATGTTTTGTTTTTCTTTTCGCCTTGTTGTCGTTGTTGTTGTTGTACTCCCTGCGGCGTTTTGCTGCGCTTTCTCGCCACGCTCCATACGGTATTCGAAGGGGTAGCAGCGGAGAGCCGACTGAACTTGACCGTTCTTGTTGCTGCTGGGGGGTGGGGGGCGGAGGGAGGTAGTAGGCGTTCATCGGCGTTCGCGTAGGGACCTAGGGAGCAGGCTGGGGCAAAAAAACGAAACTTGACGAAAAGTGTTGCCTCTCGTGCTGCTGCTGCTGCTGCTGCTGCTGCTGCTGCAATCGAAAAGCAGCAGTGGAGACTTACGAAAACTGTACATTGCACACGAAGAATTAAGAATTTCGTGAAGTTTTTGTGCCGAACGGTTCCGTGGCTGTTGTGATTTGTTTGGATTACAGTATGGGAGGGGGATCGTCGTCGCGATCGTTGTTGGCGTTGGCTCGATCGAGAAGATCAGCCAACCGCGCCACCGAAGCTCGCTTATCACGTACCACAAAAAGGAGAAAATACACGGTAACACGGGTAGGGGGGGTCACGCAGACGTAGAGGGGGGGGGGGGAAGCTTGGACGAAAGAGGGCGGCGATTTTTGTATGTGGACAATTGCTGGGTGTGGCCTTTGGCAGTGCGGATTGATCGATTGGTGAGCGGACATTTCATGTCCCACCCTCGCATTGGTTGGTAATGATGTGCTGGACCGACCCTGCTGCTCGTTTCTATTTTCTGTTATTGTTCACGGCGTGCAGTAGTTCCACAGCAGTTGCGCTACCCGGGGTGGTAGTGTTTGCGGTATCAAAGCCTTTGGTTTGGTTGATCTGGTTGGCTGGCTGAACAGCTGGTTGTGATTTTTTTTTTTTTCTGCTTCTTGTTTGTTTTTGTTTTGACACCAGTCTTCGGTCATTTCTTGGCAATAATTGTTCTGGGTGGAAGCTCTCCGTCTCAGCGCTGAGCATCTCACAAGTGTGCTCAAGCAAGAGCGAGATTTACGCTACGCTACTGAGTTGAATCGTTCTTTTTTAAACGTCTAGTCTCAATTCTTCTGGAAAAGGGTGAACAAAAGATCGTTGGGAGGTGGGGTGAATTGATTTTTTGACGGCGTCTTTTCATGGTTTCTATCAAGGAGATTTCGGTTGCCGAGGGGAGGGGGGAGGGGGGGGGGGGGGTTTAAGTAAGAAAAAAAAAGGTCCCCGCACCTCCA